AGTCAGAGAGATGTAGCAGGAGAAGTCAGAGTTCAAAGCACGAGAGTAACTCAACCCCTATGGTTAGAGGGCCCAGTGGAAAGTATGAGAAGGAATCCAGACAGCATCTAGAGCAAAAGTCAGCCCCCAGTGGACAGTCAGCAAGGGAATGGGGACCTCAGTCCTACAACTGCAAGAAACTGAATTAGGCCAACCACACAAATGAGTTTAAAAAAGAATTCATGGGCTGAGCCCGTGACGCACTTGGGAGAGTGCGGCGCTGGGAGCGCAGCAGTGCTCCCGCCGCGGGTTCGGATCCTATATAGGGATGACTGGTGCGCTCACAGTGCTCACTGGCTGAGTGCGGTGCGGCCGGTCTCAAAAAGGACAAAAAAATAAAAATAAAAAAGAATTCATTCCCAGATCCCCCAGAAAGGAACACAGCCCTGCTGACACCTTCGTTGTGGACTTGTGCAACTAACCATAGAGCTCAGTTTAGATGTTGTCCCCAGACTTCTGACCAACAGAACTGTAAGATGATAAATGGGTGTTGTTTGAAGCCACAAAATTGCCATTAACTTATTATGGCAGTAATAGAAAACAAATGCACTGATCCTCGAACATGCTAGGAATGTTCTGGCCTCAGGACCTTTGTACTAGCAGTTCTCTCTGCCTAAAATGTTCTCTCTACAGATATACACAAAGCTCACTCCCTCATCTCTTCCAACATCACCTTTGCAATGTGGTCTGTCCTTTCTGCCATATTTAAAATCACACCCCCATCCCCACCCCCAGCACTTAAGACTCCTTCTCCAGTGCTATTTTTTCTTTTTTGCATACATTCATTCTTTTTCCATTCTAACATACATAACTTACTTATTATGGTTATTCTCTGTAGTCTGTCTCCTCTGCCAGAACATAAGGTCCATAAGTGCATAGATCTTTGTCTGTTTTGATCACTGTTGTATCCCAGCATCTAGAATAATTCTTGGTATAGAGCAGTGGTTAATGGCATAATGTGTGGAGCTAGAGATCTAGGTTTAAATCTTTACTCCACCACTTACTATCTGTGTGACCTTGGTTAGCTTAGTTAGCCTCTCTGTGCCTCAGCTTCCTTATATGTAAAATATGCATCTATGTTGTAAAAGGTTATTGTAAGGACTAAATAAGTAGTACAGGTATTTGTAGAGTGTTTGTAGAATCCTTGCAACAGTTCTTTTATCCATATGACCTGACACCTGGTAGATGTTCAGTAACCTACCTTGAAAGAACGAAGGAAGGAAAGAAGGAAGGAAGGAAGGAAGGAAGGAAGGAAGGAAGGAAGGAAGGAAGGAAGGAAGGAAGGAAGGAAGGAAGGCTAGCTAACTGTACATTTGCAGGTGCATTCTCCTGCAAAAGGATAGGTTGGAGCGACCTAAAGCTTGAAAAGCATTTCAAGTCTTTAGGACCTTTTGCTTTCATCAGATGGCCAGAGATGAGCAAAAGAAGCAAACTCCCACATAATATAAAAGAGATTCCTGCCTCTCAAAGCCAGCAGAACTGAAGGTTCCCAGGACATCTGTTCACTCATAGGACACTGGTCAGTCGATCCCTCCATTACTCAGAG